ACCTCTCGTATGTAACCTTGTCAGTGGTATTCTAACAATCAAACTAATCAAAAGAGTAGTTGAATGGGTCCAATAGAGGTTTGAAATGATTCAATGGTTAAAGATTTTGTATAAATTTCAAATCTAAAACATAGTGGATAGATTTGGAGTTTATAGAGTTTGAGTTGGGAATGAGAGTTCTACAGAGGTTGGGGAACGCTTTTGAGGTTTCTACTCTTTCTTTCCTCCTCCAGCTCACCCTAGATCCTCCCCTCCATCAGTTATCTTAAGCTCGAGTTGGATCAGTATTTATAGACAAAGGAAGGGAGAGAGTTCTAAAATTTGTCCAATTAAAGGGCTTAAAAATTTTTCTAACCCAACCTGGGAACTGGTTTCCCAGTGATTTTGAAATATGAAATTTCTAAATCAATCTTGCACTGAACCATACTAGATTTGAAATCTAAATTAAACTGATCATACCTTATACATGCTACAAATTGCAGCTCCTAGAGAGGTAGTTCACACCTAATATCAGTTATACAAACCAACTTACACTGTAGATGGCGTAGTGTACAAGAGAAGCCGATTCAACAACATCATTTCAACAAAACTACTATTCAACTTGCTTGGATCGAATGGAATTTGTGAGACTGATTTCCTTAATGTTTTTCTTACAAAATCAAAGTGGAAAATTGATAAAAATCAGTTCTTACAATGGGTAGGTCATGCTAGGGTTTCTAGGAGACAATGGAAAAGAGGAGAGAACAAGAGAGTAGAGAAAATTAACTTAATTGGACTCTCCCCTCTTTCTCCTTTATATAGAGAACTCTCCTAATCTACTTAGGAAATGATCCAAATCAAATTTGGATTAGGACTCGATTTTTAATTGATAAGCATGATCTTCTTAAGAGGATAGGTGCTCCATAACCAAATCAATGCCCATCTTTAACCCAAGTCACATGACAGATCACTCAACTAATCACATCAGTAATGGGCCTTAGGCCCATACCCATTTTATCCAGTGGTTCATGTTCCTAAGTGTTGCATGGACACTTTGGGTCTGAATCTTGTATGGTGTGGGACCCACAAAGGTTTCACACAAGTCCATAAGGGTTCAGATCTACCCTTAAAAGAGGTCAGGCCGAATTCACTACTCAGGGCAGTGAACCCCTGACCCAATCAGCTTGGGCTCAGTTTGAGCCCAACATTTACCACCAAATGATCATTGGATTTAGTCACCCTATGAAGGCTCAAGGATAATTGACTTATGTAAGATAAAGTTAATTAGGTAATCATCCCTGTAATGGTCTCTTACACTTAACCTCTCGACCCATAAATCATTAGAACACTACCCTCAGTTAAGGACTTCTCCCCTAACTGTAAGATGTAGTGTTACAATTTCTGCTCGGATGGATCCCGAGATTAAAATCTTTTGCAAACCTTTTTCATAAAATAGTAATATAACATATAGATACATTTTGCAAATCAGATTTCAAATATAGTTGAAATCCACTACTGATAGTTTAGGTTGCTATTAGAGAGAGTGTAAAGCTTGATATTCACTTCGTCTAACAAAGGGGTCGATCCTATCATTATGGTCACCCACCCAAGTAATTTCCTAAATTACCCCAACATGCCCAAGTATTTGACCCTTGATGGATCTCACTAGTTGGCACATTAAAGGTAGTTCAATCTAATACCTAGTGTAGTATTATAATCAAGTATGAGGTTAAGTGCAACTTTCTAGTTTTGTCCATCTATCTCCAAAGTGCATAGCATAATTGGAAATTGATCCGGGTTCAGTGTTTCTTGTAAACACCCACTAGCTGTACTTGGGGTCTAACCCTAACAACTGAGACAAGCTTCTCCAATTGTTTGGTAGCACACTAGTATCAGCATTGTCAAGATGAATTCCCCAAGTCTATCCAATGGATGAGAATGTTTTAAATTAACATGCGTCTCTTAAGTATCCAGTTTAAGGGGTAATTCACAAAAAACATACCAATATGAATATGAAACAATAATATACTTTATTCGTTTACAAAGAAATGTTTATGTACATCAATCTAATTGGAGCTAAGGGCATACACTGTCTAACAATGCAAAAGTGGGTGGACTAAGATAACATTGTATAGCGATGGTGTTTCAACAACTAAAATTTATGCTTCATAGTGGCCCTTCTTGGTGTGGTCCCCATTGTTACCAGTAGGCTAATCTTCCCCATTGGGCGAACTACGTCCCCACTAAAACTGACTAGTGGTACATCAGTTGGGACGAGTTGCTTCCGATCAAGTTTCATCTTCTCAAAGGCATTAATAAATAGGATGTTAGCAAAGCTACCACCAAGGTGTCATCGTGAGGTAAGCAGACATCCTTCTGATCTTCTTTATCGAATGAGATTGTTTCGTCTAGCTTCAACCGCTTCAGAGGTGGGCTTCCTTCTTTAGACTACAACTCTTGAATTGATCACTGTCATTATTTTGCGGGTGCTTCTTCCTCAACCTCCTTTTCTCGGTCTTTGGGCTACTTGGCAGGTTGCGTGTCTTAACGAATTACTTGAGGTAGTTGGGCTGGATCAACTATGTAATCTTGTTCTTCAGGTCCCGACAGTATTTTGGTATCGTGTCCAATGGTCCGATGAAACTTGCAATACTGATCTTCGTTTCTTTTTCTTGGGTTACCTCTCATTTGTGGGGGCCATTTTAGGTAGTCTATTTTCTTGACTTGCATCAGGATCTCGCCCACTTGGCATTTAGTGGAGTGTAGCTGTTGTACCTTTTGGGTAGAGTTTAAGATCGCCTAGGTGGTGTACGAGATCATCTGGACGAACCTCCTTCACTACAGCTCCACTTGCTAGTGCTTTCACCTCGGTCCTCATCTTGGTCCTTTCTTTTCTTTTTCTCTCCTTGGTCTCTTCGAGCTTGGATGACCTCTTTAGTGTTCATGTACTTTTTCTACTTGGCTAAGGAACTCAGTCATGTTTTGGGGCGATTTCTTTGCTAGGGAAAATGAGAGGTATGGGTGTCCTTAACCCCATGGGAGGCTGCTACTTTTGCTACTACCAGATTGAGATCGCAGATTTCGAGGGTCTTCAAGTTAAATCTTTGAATATATTCTCAGATAGTTTCCTTAGGTCATTATTAGACGTACATCAAACTCGTGGTGGTCTTTTGATATCTTTGGTTGGTCGTGAAATGAGCCTCAGAAATGCTGCTAAACTGGTCTCGACTCTTGATGGAGATCAAGGCAAGCCCTGAGTACCATAGCCGAGTTGTCTTCCTTAGGGTGGTTGGGAAGGCTAGGCACATGCTCACCTTTAAGGCCCCTTGCTATCAATGACAACTCAAAGCTTGATGAATGTTGCTGAAAGCTGAGTATGCAAGAAAGATGATGTTAGAGGGCTCGGGGGATTTCCCGGGCAAGGGATTCCAACGTTCAAGTTAGTGCTGAGCTCTCCATGGTGGTAGAAAGCAACGAGGCAAGAATTAGAACAAGAGCATGTGTGTGTATATGTGAACATACTTTTTGATGGTGAAGGGGCGCACTTATATAGACCTCAAAACTCGGTTGTTACATGTCCGACACGTTCGGGCTGTTAGTGCTCATCCGTTTGTCACTTCGGGGATGTGTCCACATGACACCACATGTGTCCATATCCGCTTCCTTGTAAAGCGGTGACAGGCAGGCTTATCGTCGCAAGGCGGGTATCGTGTCCTCATATGTCTCAGTCCAGCTATTCGGTGCGAAGGGGGAAGAGCGAGTGTACCGTGTAGGTTGGAGATGTGCTGAGGTTGGAGAGGTCCCTCAGGTTGCGGGCTGCCCAAGTCAAACGAGTAGGTTGGGGGCATGGCATAGTCAAGTTGAACGTGTACCTTAGGCCGATAGGGCTTCATAAGCCGATCTATCAAGGTGCTTTTAAGCATAATCCAACCACGTATGGTCATCAAATGATTTTTGGACTGCCATGTGGCAGAACGTGATTGGAGGTATAAATCGTCCCTCATCAAAATATACGAGTGGCAAATGGATTAAGAGGTCAATATGGGTGGGTTGGTACTCAACCTGCACTCAACTCACCCATTTGCTACCCGTATTCCAAGACTCTTGTGGCAAACATTTGTCTTTAAAAAATAAAACGGACGTATTTGCAAGATTACAATAATGTTTTTGTATTCAATTCCAATACGTGGACCAAAATTTCAAAAACAGGCCATCCATTCGCTCAAATTAAACTCTTGAATCTTGATAGGCGAATGGAACCATGGACTTTGAGATTGGTGAACATGAAGTAGACAATGTAATAGGAGAGAAAATTTTCTTTTTTGGAAAGAAAAATGATACTTGTGGACTGGTTGGTTTGTTAAAAAAAAAAAATAGTTAATTGGATAGACTAGTTGGTGAAGGTTAATTTTGTCATATAAAAAACGATACTTGTGGACCAGTTTTGTTATCATCAACAATGATACATGTGGAGTTGTGGACCAGTTTTGTTATCATCAACAATGTTGACTTGATAAAGGTATATACATAAATTATAGTGTGAGAGAGGGGATCTCTATTGAAGAATGGAATATGTCAGATATGTTTAAGACAATTTTAGAAAAGTGAGGGAGTAAAGAAAGATCCCCTTAAAAATTAAAACCCGTGTGCTTACTAAACCACTAAATTATGAGACCGGTTCTGCTCCTCTTACAGGGCACTTCATACCGATCTTACACGCACATCTTACTATGGGAAACATCTCCCATATTTATATTAATCACGGGAGATATTTCGAAGGTGGATGTGCCTGTGAGGCGCCCATGTGTGAGGAACAGATCCGATTCCCTAAATTATTTATATTAATTAAAACTTAAAATAACCAAGCGACATTTTTATGCTACTTATTTGATTCTGATCCAACGGTTGGCATCTAGAAAGCACATGCAATCGACCGTACAATGGTACCCGGCTGTGACATCTGCTTAGCTGGCAACCGTTAAAAACCAACGTGATATCACGCTGGCATCTCTAGATTCCGTCTAAAATTGAAGTGGGGAGGCCTTGTCAATCTCTCTCTCTCTCTCTCTCGCTCTCTCGCTCTCTCGCTACAAATAATGTCCTCTTCGTTTGAGACTTGAAAATCTCCGTCACTCGTTCTCCCTTTCTTCTCCCTTCCTTCACATTGCAACGGAGAAGGAAATCACGAACTGCCTGAGCGAGGTACACACCCATATTGCCAGATTTATAGGATTTTCAAGTCAGGTTGGTTGGTTAAATTTGACTTCGTTTTCCTAGTGTTTTTATGTTATATTAAGTTTATTTAAGGTACTATGCGATTAGGAGTTTCAGATCTGAGCTTTTGGGTGTTTTTCTCCTTGATTAGTGTTGAGATTAATGTCTTTTCTGCGTTACCTTTGGTGTTGATTCTTTGTTAAAGATGTTTTCTGTGCTGCATTGGTTCTTGATGTTTGGGGTTGAATTCTTGCTTTGTTTACTTAATGCCATTTCTTTGGGAATCAAGTTAGCGTTTTTGGTTGTTATTTTTGTTTTTGGTTTTCTTCTTGGTGGTTTAGTTGGATTCGACTATGATGGCATGAATCGTGAAGGATGAGTTGCAGACTAGGCAACACCATTTGGGTTCAGAAGTACTTGTTTATTGTTTTATTACTCTATTAAAACTGGTGCTGGATGATTTTGGAAACATGGTTTTAACAGAAGTAAATGGATTTGTCAATGGAGCTTGAGTTCAATGATATACTGAGTAAACAAAACAGAAAAAAAAGTAATTGTTTCTGCAAAAGGAGGATATACATCTGTCAATAGAATGATGGTGTCTGAAATATTTCGAATTGAATGCTCAACAAAATATAATATGTCAAAAAAAAAAATCAAATCAAGGGGCTTTTTTTTTTTGATGAATTCAAATCAAGGGGCTATTGCTTGGTGCAGTTGTAAAATCTTGGCCTGATAAGTATGAGAATATGGGTTCGGCCACTTTGTGCAGAAAATGACAAAGGTTAGGCCTGTATCCAGTCCATTCCTCTCAAGACCACGGCTAGCTAGGGCCAACATCAGGTAATGGCTCTATATTATTAAACAAATCAATGTGTACCAAGAGAAATTTTTAATGCGGTTCTAAGGCCATAATAGAAAGTGTTATTTTATATATGAAAAATAATGTGCCATTTCAAGGGCAAATATAATGATATACTGTTGATCTAGAACTGGTTATTAATTTATTATGAATCCTTTATTGTTTCAACATGTCACCATTGCTTATTTCTTGTTTACTGTTAAAATTATTATTTCTTATTCACTTATTTATGCTGAGGCGATTGTCGTTAAGGCAGATTCTGACATGAATCCACCTATTCCTGCCACATGAAGGATCTTTTAGCCAATCTAGACTGTCCATCAGATAGGGGATCCACAAGATTGTTCACATGTTCAATTACACAGTTCATATCGTCCATATGCTCCACCGTGCATTTCTTGTTTCCACAACTAATAAATTTTTTTTGATTTTTATTTCCACAACTAATATAGCCATTCAAAGTTTTAATTTTTTAATAGAAAACTAACTTGTAAAAATTAGGGCTGCAACTTGGGCAGGCTTGGGTTGAGCAGTTGCTAAAACTTGAATGGGCCTGGCTCAAGGGCTTGCGCTTGAATACTGTGTAAATTCTTCAAGTTAGGTACCTGATTTGCACCCCTAATAAAAGTGGACTTGTCACGTAGCAAGGTTTTTTGGTCCTTTTTTCTTTCTTCTTCTTGAACTTAGCATGGGGAATGGAACTTGGATACTGCTTTTGAGCTCCAATTTACTCTGTCATATGTAAGATTACCTGACCCTTTTGGCCCTATGGCCTTGCATCTGAGCATATCTACAGCTCCTGCCCCGTAGTGTCCCCTTGCATCTCTTGTTTCCACAACTAATTTTGCCATTGAAAGTTTTATTTTTTTAATATTTAATATAAAGCTAACTTATGAAAGTGGAATTTCCATGTGGCATGGGTTTTTTGGCTGTATTTTTCCTTGGCTACGTTTTGATCTCTAGGTTATTTGTCATGTGTAAGATTACCCGAATGTTTGGGAAAGCAAAAAAGTTCTTGTCAAATCACAAAGAAGGGATTGATGGCATTTCATCTGAGCATATTTCAGAGGGTTCCATACATAAGGGGCCTTTGCTTGGTACAATGGTAAAATATTGGGCTGACAAGTGTGAGAATGCAAGTTTGATCTTTGTACAAAAATGTCAAAGGTTGGGTCCATATCCAGGCCACCCATCCCAACACCCTACATAGCTTGGACCAACTTTGGGTAGTGGGCTTTTAGATATATTGATTGCATTTTTCTGTATTTGCAGCCCCAGGCATTATCTTTTAAGCCTTTATTTTTCTTGAGTAACTGTAAAATATAATGGTTTTGTGATGTGAGAAAGGGAGAGACTCCAATTATAGTAAACTGTACAATGTTATGTGTATTCAAAAAGAACAGAACTACATAAGTATACTAATTAGAAAACAATTGTTCCTCTGTAATGTTAGTAGTGTCTATTCCAATGGAGAATTTTCTATAACCTTTATTCAAAAGATCCTCTCCACACCATTATCTGTTTTTCCAACGAATAGTATGACCTTAATTTGTTTTACATTTAATTCTCCTGTAGTTTCAATTTTAACATTTATTCAATTGTTTTCAGCTTGATTATACAGTCATTTCATGTATAATCTTTTCTTCTTGTATTTAAACATGTCTCCAGGTACATAATAAGGTGCCAAGATGGTTGTGCAGGAATTTACTGTGGACTTGAATAAACCTCTTGTATTCCAGGTATTTTTTATTGTCTTCATGGTATCTTTTATATTTCTTTTTCTATAACATTATTAAACATGCTTGATAAATATATAAAGCCTAAACTGTGCTATCACTAAATTCTTTTCTTTTTCTTTAATTTTTATCAGTCTTTTTTTCCATTTCATTTTGAGAACATTTTTTTTTTCATGTTTTTGTATGTTCTGCCTGTTTTATTCTTCTCTACAACCATGTTTTCCCATGATTTATATTCCATGTGAATACCAGTTAGTTGCCATTCTAGACATGTCTAAACTGTGCTATAACTGAATTATTTTTTTTAATTTTTATCTTAGTATTTTTTTAAATTTCATTTTGAAAACATTTTTCATGTTTTTGCAATGTTTTACTTGTTTTATTCTTCTCTGCAACCATGGTTTTCCGTTATAACTCCATGTGTATACCAGTTAGTTTCCATTCTAGACATGTCTGACTGCACTCCATTTTAATAGTTCTATTTTGTATGTTCAATTTTTAATCTTTTAAAAGGTTTTATAGGTTGGTCACCTTGGCGAAACTTACCAGGATTGGGTTCACCAACCTATTGTTAGCAAGGAAGGCCCACGGTTTTTTGAGAGCAATTTCTGGGAGGTATCTTCTAATTCCTGTCTACATGAAACTTTCTATTGCTGTACACAACCGCCCACTGACACCCACCTAGTTTAGCACACATAAAATATTGGTCAATTTGCAAGGAATGGTTTAGATTGCTTGCATTCCATATTTCTTATTACTACGATATTTTATTTGATTAGTATAAATATATACATGAGTTTAACTTTGCAGTTGATTTGTCACTTGAAACAGTTCTTTACCCGAACAGTATGGTGGGCAGTTCCTCTCATTTGGCTTCCTGTTGTTTGTTGGTTCATCTACACATCTTTTCAAATGGGCCATACTCTTCCTCAAGTATGTCTAATGATACTTGGTGGCATATTTGTGTGGACGTTGTTGGAATACACTTTACATCGCTTCCTGTTCCACATCAAAACAAAAAGCTACTGGTTTGCTTTCTCTCTTTAAGATTTATTTAAGTTATTATTCATGTATTCTTAATAATCCCCATTTCAAATGTTTTTCCTTTTGACTAGCTAGTACTTGATATAATTGATGACTTACTGCAGGGGAAACACCATACATTATCTCCTTCATGGTTGCCATCATAAGCATCCCATGGATGGGCTACGACTTGTTTTTCCTCCTGCTGCAACAGCCATTCTTTGTGTACCCGTGAGTTGGAATTTTCCCATCATCTCTTTATCTACCTTAATTAGCCTTGTAAAAATAAGAGAGTGACGTGGTTATATGACACTAAGAAGATAAATAACATCATATCTTGCTGGGTTTCTATATATTCCTAAGTGTTGGATTGGACAAATATGATCATATGATCATTTTGAATAGATTGGCCATGGAAACTCAAGCTATGTTTGTTTGAATGCAAATTTGAACCAGATAAAAATTTTGCACCCAGTTTAGTTTTGCATCCATTTGTTTGTGACTATGATTTATACCATAGTTTTCAAGGCGCCAAGACGAGGCTAGGCGACTGGGGAGCACCTTGTCGCCTAGGCGATTGATATTTTTATGTTAAAACATAGATCCTGGGGTAGTTCCCTAGGTGCCATAACCATATTTCTTTAATAATTATTCATGATTTTCATAAGAAAAGTATAAATTGCATATTAAAGTATAGAAAATCAACATATTCATGAGAAGAAAAGGTAGAAGGAAAATAAAATTCAAAAAATATAGGGGCTGAACCCTTATTTTTGTTATAGGAAAAGAAGAAAATAAAAAGTATTGGTAGAAGAAGAAGAAGAAGAAGAAGAAGAAGAATATATGGAAGAGGAAAATGTGCTAATTAGATAAAATTTTTAGTTCTTCCTTACTTATTTATTGATTCAGGTTTTCAAGTCTTTGAGGGTTCAATACAGCATTTAGCAATGTTTGTGTCGACTAAACCCTAATAAATAAGAAAATAATAAAAAGAAATTAGTATATAAACACACAAAATGATTATTTTAGTTTAGTAATGTCTATTTTATAATTATAATCTAAAAAAAAGAATGAATAAAAAGTATTTTATAGTAGGAAGTAGAAAACTGCTTGGCGATTAGGCGAGGCGAGCCTCAAAGGGCGCCTTGTTGCCTAGGCGTTGCCTTGACAACTATGATTTATACTCTAACCTGATGCAAAATCTGCAATTTTTGTCTCATTTGCATCCATCAGCAGTGCAAATTTTGCATCTAAAAAACTAATGCAAAGTTGCACCACTTCTTCCTACCTTAATTCTTTCTCATATAAAGTGGGAATCATATCAATTTGCTTCCTACCTTACTCCCCCCAAATAAATAACCTTTCTTCTGCCTCCTCTTTCATATCTATTGGGGACCACATCATTTGACTCCCTACTTTACTTCTTAAAAACAAACAAAACAAGGTCAAGTGAGAAAACCAGGATTTACACTCAGTCCATTTGCACTCCTATTCATTTACACCACTGCAACCAAATGGAGCCTTAGGAAGTGTCAATGAGTGGACTGATTTGATGCAAAATGATATGAAACTCTTACTGAGCATATCCCTTATCACCCAATCTAAAGCTTATCACATTAATGAACTCAATGAAGCCTTGTCTCGATTTTGAGGTTGGCTTATCACAACTTCATGAACTGGTATCATAGAATTTATTCAAAATCTAGATTCAATAAAATGTTATTGCAGATGAAAAATATTTTCCTCTCTAGAATATATTTATTTTTATGGCACAAGGTATTTCTAAAAGCTGGAATACCATGATACCTGATATCTGTACATGCCTACCATTGTTGGGAAATGGAGTCATATCCCTATTATATTTCCTGCATGTTGTATCCTTGTTTGTGTTGTTATCTAGGGGTGGAAGTCAGGCAGGCTGGGCTGGGTTTCTTCTTGTCAACCCAGGCCCAACCCTAAGATTTGGGCCTAAGGCCCAAACCCAAGGTGAAACTCGACCTTCCCAACCCGAGCGCAGCCTGCACTGTAATTGATGCACTTGGGTAGGGCTCAGACCCAATCTGGGATCAGGTTGGTCAATGAATGCACTCTAAAATTACACATGTACGTATGCATTTATGCAAATATGTATGTATTTTTTTATTAATACAAATATTTATGCATTTATGTAAATATGTATGTATATATGTAAATACATATCTATATATATGTATGTATGTATGAATGTGTATAGTTGTTCTGGGCTGGGTATCATAGATGGGATATTGTTGTGCAGAAAAACAGGAATGTTGAGAAGGAAAACTCATTTGTCACTCACTTTTCTGTTCTTTCTTGGGAGCAAGTATTATTAACTCATTTAGCTTTTCTCATTCAATTCTTTGCTGATTCTGATTCCTTGTGGTTTATGAATGCTAGTTCTGGAACCTCGTTAAGTTTATGTCAACTCCCTCTATTGCTCCTGCTTTGTTCGGTGGTGGTTTGTTGGGATATGTAATGTATGATGTCACACACTACTATCTGCACCATGGACAACCATCCAAAGAAGTGCCTCGAAATCTCAAGGTTAGAAGGAAAGCAGGAAGTTTTCGTGTTTATACATGGTTATCTATTTAAAGTTTTACCCATAAGCAAGCATTCTATATGTACTATAGAATTAATACAAATAACAAATTTTGGACAAAGTCTAAACTCTAAAACATCCTAGGCCAAAATTGAACCTAGCAAGTTGTGTTTGATATAACTGCTGAAATATGTAATGAAAGAAGAATGCTGAAAAGATGCCAAATTTTCCATTTGGCATATCAGCACTTGTAATACCTGCTTAAATGCTGCATGAAGTGCAAAAATTTGGGTGATTAGTTTACCTTAAAATTTTATATATCAACAGTGCTGATTTTAAGCCATTCTTAAGTTTGGAATATTTTCTTCATTCTCCTTTCAGCAGTTATCAAATGATGCCTCATGTGCGTCTCTCCTGAGCTTTTCCTCCTTTTGAGCTGCTATCATAGCAAAGGATTTGCAGCATAGTAAGTGTCTTGTAAGTGTGGGCCAATTTGTCTACTGCTGCAACATCACTTTGTACATGTGTTTTCTTTAACCTACCCAAAGAATACAATATGCTTAGGTGACAATTGGCATATTAAGTGGGCCTCAACCGTTTGGTACTCTTAGGTTATGTTTGGTTTGAAGGAAAAGGTAGGGAAACCTATACAAGGTTTGTAAAGGTTTCCCTACCTTTCCCTTCTTTTCCCTACTTTTTCCTTAAAACCAAACACAGTCTTAGTCTATCTATATCTGCGTGTTCTTCATTATTAGGCCTTGGACATCTGACAAAGTACTCGGGATGGCAGAAAAGGCCGTTGCTGATAAAATGGTTGATATCAATAATGTTTAAGTAATATTTATAAAAAAAATAATGTTCAAGTTATGATCCTTTGATAGAGTCATGGTTCATTATCATCATCATCTAATCCTTATCCCAACTACATGGGGTTGGCTACAAGAATACTGTTTCACCATTCCACTCTGGTTAGTGCCTTATCCGTTGTTTAATGGAGTCATGATTATGATATTTTTTTTGTGCTTTGGTCAGAAATATCACTTGAACCATCACTTTAAAGTTCAGAACAAGGGCTTTGGGATTACTTCATCACTTTGGGATAGGACGTTTGGGACGCTTCCTCCATCCAAAGCTTCTCAGAAGAGTAAATAATCTATTTGCTGCTGTAGAGTGAACAGGCATATTGGCTTTGTTCAGGTGTTGTAATTTGTCATGAAGCAGCCTGGCTTACAATTGGATATTGTGATCATCCTTTGTTACTGGTGTTCAGTAAGCTTGGTTAATCTTAAGAAAATTCCTCATGTATCAATTCTTTATCTTTATTTGTATTTCTTACTTTAGCTGCTTGGCCCAGGTTTAGCAGGATATTGGTGATCATACAGTTTCTTCATATTGGCTCCTAGTTGTTTGTGACTTGAAATATTTTTGTAGGGAACATTTTCCAGACTTCTTTCCTGAGCAACATAGTTTGAAAGATGTTCTTGTATAGTTTATTATTATTTTTCCCTTGTTTAATGAAAGCTAGTATGGGAAGGCAGGTATAAGTCCATAGGTTTATGATTTCTCGGGCATGCATGAATATTTATACATAGTTTTAGTGAGAGGAAACAAATGAATGCATATCAGCAGAACATGACGGCACCAATCCAATAAGCGAAGGATAATCAAGAAAATTTAAAATAAAATTTTCTTCAAAGGACTATTTCAATGGTTTGGACTAAAACTAGTCTCTATTAAAATATCAAACTATTTTAAATATTATCTTAATAATAGGACATTATTTCAATGGTGACTTCTTTTAGTCCAAACTATTTGATTTTTATCATCAATGTTACCTCAAGTTTCTTTTCTAGTCTAAACCTAATATTTTGTGAACTTGTGTTGTGATCTTTAAAAAGTAGAAAGGTTCTTTGAACATTTTTGAACATTTATCTATCATAAACAGATTTTTATTTAGCTGTTTCTGTTTTTGGGCTTTGAATGTAGTGAAATTTTGGTATTCTGAATGTTGGAATTCTTGAAAAATGTCTATTTCGTTATTTTATCCATCTAAAATTTGTTTAGTACTTTTAAATGCTATATTGCTATTAACATTGAAAATTATATATTTTGTTATTTTGAAATGTTTAATGTTATTTAAGTATATTTTATTATATTATATAGAAGTAAAAATATATTATGTGAAAACATAAAATAGATTTAAATGCGTAAAAAAATTTAATTATATTGAAGTAATCTATATATATATTAAAACAAAACGATCAAGAAATTTCTCATTTTTTTTATTTTTTGATTATTTTTATTCTATGTCATTTTTGAAACAACCAATGAGATGCATTTTCCCGGTAACCTAAATAATCTCTTCTCCTAAGATTTCTCTTAAATAATTTTTTCTCTAATTCCTATTTATCTTTTAAAATATCTCTAATTCTTATTTATCTCCAAGATTATCTCCAATTTAGTAGAGAGTTTCTCTCGTAAATTATCTCTAATTCCTATTTATCTTCTAAATTATCTCTAATTCTTATTTATCTCCAAAATTATCTCTAATTTAGTAGAGAGTTTCTCTCCTAAATTATCTCTAATTCTTATTTATCTTGTAAATTATCTCTAATTCCTATTTATCTCCAAAATTATATCTAATTTAGTATAGAATTTCTTTCTAATGCCTATTTATCCTCTCCCCTATTTTTATCTATATCTATATAAAATAAGTTTGGATTAAAAAATTTAAGAATTATTTAAATGTTCTAACAAAATTATATAATAACTTTAAAATATTTATTAAAACCACAAAAAATAATTTTATAGTTTTTCAAAATATATCATGAAATTCTGTAACAATTTAAATTATGTTTTTCTGTCTTACCAATAAAAATGTTTTTCAAATATTTAATAATATGTAATAGCTTTAAATAAATAAAATTCAAATAACAAAAATTTTTTAATATTTTAGAGATTATTTAAATATTTAAATAACTAAAGTAATAATGAAATTATGTAATAATAGTATAAATTATGATTTCATGGATAAGTAAATTCAATAAATAATTAATATTTTAAAATTTAAATATTTTACATATTATTTAAATATTTAAATAACTAAATATTTTAAATAACAAAATATTAACATAACTAGATTTAAAATAGTTAAAATAAAGAAATTATGTAATAAATTTATAAAAATTCTGAAAAGTAGAAAAATAATTATAACATAATATTGAAATTAATAATAATTTAATATTTTCACATAATATTGTAAATAACTAATTTCACTTATATCAAGTAATAGCTCGAGAAAATAACTTTCAAAAAAACTAATATTTATTAATAATAATTTTAAACTCTTAATCTATATTTATTATATAATTATATATACTAAAATTAATATTTATTGTATTTCATTAATATTCATTGTTTTTTGTGATAAATGTATTTTAAATGATTATGTATAAATTTACTTTGTTTTGTTCTTTAACAGAAAACTTTCAATAATTATCGGAAATTGAACTACTACTATTGAAATTTTTAAATTTAACTTATTGCACTTATTGTATCTATTGTATTTTTGTTATAACTTATTAATTAATATTTATTATTAAACTATTATTTGAGATTATACTATTTATTGACTAATTTAATATATTTTTAGTACTTATTTTATTTTTGTAATTATTGTATTTTTTTATTATCAATATATTTTCAATAATTGTGTATTTTCGTTATAAATTTTTAATAATTAGTGGAGATTAAACTATTGTTATTTATCAGAGATGAGACTATTTATTTAGCTAAAATTATGAGTGTTCATGAGTTGTTTCGGTTCAGTCGTAGGCTATTTGGCCAACCAAATTGACCTAGTCAAGTTGGGGAGTTGGTCAACTGAAACCGATTGACCTTTTGTGAAAACCGACCCTCTCAAGTTGCATCAGTTTGGGCCGATTTTTTGGTTTGGTCAATTGGTTCAAAAGATTTGAACTTATAAATTAAATTAAATTAAATTTTAAAAATTACAATGCAATTATTAAAAAATAAATTTAAAAATTAGATTTATGATATAAAACATTTTAGACTAAGAAATATGGGAAAATTTCCACTTTTTCATGTTAAAAATTATATTTAAAATATAAAATATTAATATATATCCATGGTTAGGTCATCCTATTTTGGTTGGCTTACAAATGGCTAAAGTGAAACTAATCCAACTTGGTCGAATTGGAAAATTTTTGAACCAAAGTTGACCTAAACTACTAGAAAATTGACTAATTTGGGTCGAGTTGATCGGGTTGGTCGGTTTCATTAGTTTGATGAATAAACCTAGCTGAAATTAATTATTGTTACTTTTGTATTATAAAAAAATTATTAAAAGTAGTATATAAAATATGAATAATTATTAATTATTTAAAAAATTGAAAATATAAAACAGTTGTATAGTTTTACATATTTACTCTTATGTGTTTCTATTATGGTCATTTATTAGAACACACCTTATAGTTTTACATATTTACTTAAACCTACCTTATAGTTTTCATTTTACTAAAACATCCATATATTTTATAACTTATTTACTTAATCAACATTTCATTAAGAAGTGTTTGTCTTGCCATTAGTCCCATGATTTTTTATTCCAAAAATACCCTTAACACCTTTCTTGTACATAAGGGGTACTTTAGTAAATGACCATTTCTATTATTTAGCTTTCGCATAATAAATCCCGTGCATCGCACGGGTCCCCGCTAGTCTATATATTTATATAGTCCTGCCATGTTAGTAGTCCTCTCCTTGCATCAAACCCCCTTCCTAATTTTCTACTTTTTTGAATTTTTTTTATTCCACATAATTACCCATTAAACGAATAAGATACTTACATATGTTTAACTATTTCTAACAACCATAAAGAAAGAATGATTTACTTTTCTAATGTTTAGCCAAGTGGCACCACTTTCCCCAACTTCCTCCTAAATTGTCTCTAACTCCTATTTAGTAGAGAGATTCTCTCATATATATATATATATATATATATATATATATATATATATATATATATATAT